ACTGTAAAAAGTATTTATATTTTTTCTTAAGTCTTACAAATTTTTTAGAATTTTAAAGAAGAAAAACAAAAAAGGCAGACATATGAGACCCAAAATAACCAATTCTTATGGGTTCTCTCACCAATTATACTATTTATATTTCATTAATGATGTTTTAATGTATTTTGATCCCCTACTAACGGTGCTAAGAGAAAAATAAATGATATTGTATTAAAATATCCTTACCTAATCTTAATGTTTAATAACAAATATAACTGACGAAAATTACATTTCACCAGCTTAATCCGGTTCAAACCGAAACGGTGGCTGTTAAAACAATTTGCAATACAAATAACGCCTCAGCCACTATATCTATTGTAACCCAGCCGGCCTGAAGAGCACTAGTTTTGGGTAAAAATCTCGTCGCCAATGGATATTGTAGATGTGGATTGGTTGATATATTATTACTACCAAACCCGTGGGCCTATGGCCCACATTTACAAATTTAATGCACTTTTTTCAGTTTAATGATCATTGCCGCTATAATGTAAATTTAATTTCTTTAACAAAGTTACGAACGGTAATTAGTAGGCCTTCTTATTTACGAGCTCTAATGTAAATCAATGCCAAAATTGGGGTCCGCTTTTGGGTAATTCTCCTAAAAGCGTTTTCGCGAAACACCCGGGTTCCCTAAGGGTTTGGGTGAAAAGTTTTACCCTTGTGCAAAACCTCGGAGCCAAAATTCGTTTGACACCACTTAGAAGTTGACGAGTCCAGCAGTTCAGAAGAAAGGGTTTTCGGAAACTCTCCGGGTTACTCAAAAGTTGGAGTGAAGAATTTTACATCTGTGCAAACCTCAGAACCTCGAGACCAGCAGTTTAGGAGTTATGTGACAACACACATACAGACACTGACTCTTATTATATAGACTAGCGTATAGCCCTTGAAAAATGACGAGGCAAGTACTACCACCCCTACCCCATAGTATACCCTAACCCCAAACTTCATAGCTAACTGAAATAAATAAATTCTGAGAAAGCAAGCTTGACCATCAAATAATCAGAAAAGTGAAGTCAAACGGTGGTAAATTCCTTTGGAAGCCAATCAAAATTAGGAACATTCATCAAAAGAATTCATGACGTATTCATAGGATGATTATTGATAAAAAATCAGATTAACAACTTCTAATATATAGAAAAGCCAGTGCGTTTTGGTAACACTATGTTCCAACAGTGGCTTTTAGTCACGTTTCTTAGTAACAAAAGTTATAACCTAATACTGTTGTTAGTATATGTATTTAAAGTATACAATGAAATGTGTAGACAACAAAACTGGAAAAAATATTTCTTGATTTCTTAATTTAGTCTCCGTTGATTAAAGAGGTTTATTATTATTATTAAAAACGTTGGTGATGTAACAGAAAACAGCTTAATTCAGAAACGATTTAAATTTAAAATTGAATCGATATTTTTACTTTCATGATAAATTTTATGGACTTTCCTCTAGGCTCCCACACTACGTCTTTACTTTAGGCTTATTATACCAACACTCACTACACTTATAAGGTTTCACGGCATCTTACCCTCACGGCCCCCTTGAACCCCGTCACTAAAATCGTAATTGGCATACAGTAATCGAACTACTCTGTCTGAGCATTGGGGAGGTTGCAAGGCTCGGTTTTTTTTGTTTGTTAGTAAGCGCAAAGCTACAGATTGGGCTATGTGAACTCTGCCCATCGTGGGTATCAAATCCCAGTTTTTAGCGTTATAAGTCCTTGACTTACCGCTGAGCATTAGAGATGTTGCAGGGCTCGTTTTTTTGTTTGTTGGTAAGTGCAAAGCTACAGATTGGGCTATCTGGACTCTGCCCATCGCGGGTATCAAAGCACAGTTTTTAGCGTTATAAGTCTTTAGACCTTCCGCTGAGCTACCAGGAGGCTGCACGACTTGATATTTTATTCTTATTTCTAGTGAGGATGAAAAGTTTTAAAGATTTTTTCTATCTTCTGTGTTGACAAATTCGGTCTGAGTTGAGGCCTCAGTTTGGGGTTCTATACAACACATGAAACAATATGAAATGTTATACTGATTTTGAACACTTATAAGCACGCACTAAATCTGCTACGTCTTACGAACAGTGTACGCGTATAAGATACTATATAGAAGAGAAAAAAAAAAAGACGACCAAAACAGCACCTCAAACACTTATAATTAAAAACATGCTATGCTGTTTACATCCAGTTTACCAGTGCGCGGAGCAAGATTACCACCAAAGGAATAATGAAATAGATGATCGTGAAACGCAACAACAAAGCAAACAAGGTAATACATCAAAGGTTTACTTCAAGATACCTTATCAGACTTGTACGAGTCATTACATGCTGTATCGATTCTGATTTTTCGTCCAGGATTAGTAGGTAAATTCAGATGAACACTCCAGCACGAAAAATCAATATGTTATTTACTTATTGCACTGGGGGGATAGGAATAGTTACCGTCTATTACCAAAAAGATGTCGCATAGTAGGATGACGGATAAATGAAAAACGTGCAGTTTAATAATCAATACTGATAAGTTATAGCAACATTACGTGATATAAATATTTCACTATGAAAGTTGGACTGCTCCGTGATTAAGGAAATTACCATCCGCTTTGAAAGTGCTCGTTAACTAGTATTTTGAACATTTATCATTTGTAACAAGTGGCGACTCCCGTGGGCTGTAACAAAAACAAAGGTTATTTTATCGATTTACAACTCCAGGGTGTGATAAACACAACGTTTTTTCTTCTTCTACAATTTGTTCCTTACGGTGTTCCATAGTCATGAAAGAATATATATATATACATAAAAACTGGATTCGCTTGGTTATTACAATATGTAAAGTCATTCAGATGACTGAAAAGTCAACAAATAATTCATCATATCGATCGGATCAATGCATGTAAAAATTGGATTTACTGGAGACTGTGTGTATATATATAAAAAAAGGTGTTCATTGAACTGATACAAGATTTAAAACTATTTAAATGATCGAAACTTTAAAAAAATTAGCCCACCTGAATCGGGCAATACATAAAACAAAATTAGTTTAATTAAATTAATACGTAGAAAGTGTTAAACTGAGGATGTTGCCACCCTCAACAATATTTTACATTTTATTTACATAGAATTCCGGAGCATTCCCAATAGCCCTATCTCTAAACTGCTAAGCACTGATTTGTGAGTTAACAACCGGAACTTATAAAATGAGGTGAACAGTAAACTATTCAACAGTCTCTAATCAATTACAGACGATGTTACAGACCATACAGAAATAGATATGCAACTTTTAAAAACACGGTCAATCTGAAGTCGAATTTTGAGAAATTTGTCTGTTAGCTAGTGGTGTAACTGTCGTGCAATATTTTCTAAAAATTATAACACTTAAGTAACGGGGAAAAACTAAGTTGTTACATAAATGTTCCTGAGTATGCAACCATGCACCAAATAGGCTTACTTTGTGTGTTCATGCTCCCAAAATGGTTTTCCACTTTCGCTCCGAGCTGGGTAGGAAAATAAATAGGATCACGTGAGCTATGCGTGCTAGAAAGAAAAGTAAGAGACAATACCGTACAAGGCTGCCTGTTGATGGCCGGCTGTCATGAAAGCAGTAATGTTTGAAGATAAGGAGGCCGAAGTCGAGGGGCGTGGTTCGCAATGTTGGACGCTCTACCGGAAATATATTAAGAGTGCGGTAACATAAAACAGTAACGTTTTGTAGCATCCGATAGGAAGCACCAGTTTATTAACATCTTGGCTACTACGGACTCTTTTAGTTTTTATAATTTCTCATGGCTCTAAAACTCACCAAAAAAAATCACTCTTTAATAGAAACCAAGGAGAAAGAAAAACAGTGTCAATGAATGTACTGAAAATTCTCATTTGTTTCACACAAAAGTTGGTATTAGCAAAAAAGATCAAGTAGCTTTGGCTTTTTTTTCCCTTCAAACCAGCAATATCAATGACAACTTGTAGGATTTTTTATACCCCCCTATCCCTCACAATGTCATAGCCTTAATAAGAAAATTAACACGCAAGGTTAACTAGACCAACGATCGGTATGGTTAACAATACTCATAAAAGAAGGTGATCAACGTGTCGTCTTAGTAGAAAGTGAGCACTATAGTTAACAATACTCCAAACAGTAAATAATGTGAACGTAGTCTGAAGTGGACTGCGAACGATATTGTTAACAATACTCCTTAAGTAGTAGTAAAAGTATATTTGCAGAGAAGCTGCGGAGTGTTAATCAAAAACCTTTAATGAGACCACTCAATGTTAGGACCTTTCAATCAGAACACACAACCGTATAATATGAAGAAAAACAACCACACAAGCTTATATATACTGGTGCATGATGAGATGCCGACATCACAATAATAAAAAATGTCTACACATTTACAACTGACAACATAACGTTCCATTAACTACAACTCCTGCTTACAACAGTTTGCTCTCTCGACTACTGTCTCTTGGGGATAAGATGCACACGGCTTAAGCCACGCTGGCAGAAATAGAGAGTGGCCTGTACAGGTTGATATCGCATACTGACATGTCTGACACAATAAACCAGTAGTGTAATAAGTCTTTAGAGGCTACAAGTCCTCTGAGGATAATTAGTACATAAGGACGCGGTGGTACGTCAAGACGTCATGCTTTTCCATAATTTCATTTCTAAAGAAACTATGGAATACTGTCAAGTAATATTTAACTCAAAGTTCACTACACAAACTATGGAATACTGTCAAGTAATATTTAACTCAAAATTCAAATATTACTTGACAGTATTCCGTAGTTTGTGTAGTTATTACTTGACAGTATTCCGTAGTTTGTGTAGTGAATTTTGAGTTTTGAACTCAAATTCACTACACAAACTATGGAATACTGTCAAGTAATATTGAACTCAAAATTCACTTTAATGTCTATCAATACCTGAATAACTACATTCGAAAATGAAAATATTGGATACGTTACAACTGACCTTTCTCTCTGTTAAGACGTACAAGTTGTGTTTGCTCTGGTCAAAGGCCAAGTCCTGATTCACCGGTGATCCTTCGTCGATCACAGTATCAGAGTATTCAAAAGCACTGGTAACAGAATCGACCACGGCCTGAATAATAAATAAATAGGTTATTGATATGAAACTTAGAACTAATAAACCGCACAAAGAGCTGTAGTAATTTATGTACAAATTAAAAGGTTAAAAAAGTTAAAACACGCGAGTCTATAATAATTACAAAACACACGACCCGTCAGCTTCGTAACACACATGAAAATATGGCAGGAGCTCTAAATTTCAGTAACACGCGTTCAGCAAATACTGCCCCCCCCCGGACCTTAAGGAAGTGATTGTTTGTTTGTTTAGTGTGTTTTTTGAATTTCGCTCAAAGCCACACGAGGGATATCTGCGCTAGTCGACCCTAATTTAGCAGTGAAA